TCCCCGACCCCGGGCAGCGGCATCGCGTCAGGCATCGACATCCCCCGGCCGGCCCGGCCCGCGGCTGACCCGCCGCCCCCGCCTCTTTCCCTCGCGGGCGCCCGTCCGCCCGCCCGCGCGGCGCCCTCCGACACGCGCTCGCCCACCCTCCCGCCGGGCCCCGCGGCCAGCTGCGGCGGCTTCGGGGGCACCGTGGCCGGCCCCTCGTCTGCTCGGCAGTCCGAGACCTCCGGACAGCGACAGCGGCCGCTGGAGCGCCAGGAGCAGCGGCTCCGAGGTCCGACCTGCCCGCGCCGCCACCTCCGCCGCACGCACACACGCACGCAAAGCAAGGGGAGAGGGCGGTGACGCCACGTCAAGTACGGGCAGCTCGGGGGTGGGGGGGTGGGAGGCGGGGAGCCACGGCGCTCGGCGGTGACGTCGCCGCGCTGGGCGGAGCGCAGAATCTGCCCCGCCTCCTTTCCCGCGCGACGGTGATGGAGTCCCCGGGGTGAGTCGGACCCTTCTGCCACCAGGTGGCGCCATCAGCCCTGTGAGCGCGCGTGGTTCCCGCGAGGCTACCATGGGACGGAGGGTCTCGGGGCTGCGGGTTTCCCGGCGAGGCCTCAGGGGGGCACGAGAGGGATGCTTGGGAGCTAGGACCAGAGTCCCACACGACACATCAGCAGCCATTCCTGCGAAGCGTCCGCGAGACAGCCCACTCACTCATTGCCCCAGCCTCCAGCCCTTTGGACCAGAAGCTCCTTCCCAAGGGACGGTGCTGGCCTCTTTGACTTCATAGAGGGCGAGACTGACTCAGAGCAGTCTGGTTTCTGCACAAGCCCTTGTGACTTCCTCCACCACCATCTCTGCCCAGGCCTGGCCTGTTTACGAGACTTTCAGGCCCCAGAGCTGATGTTCAGTTGCCCTCGGGATAGAGCTAATGGGTCCGAGGGTGGAGAGCGGGAGGGCTGAAGAAGTCCCTAACCAGGATGGCTTTCCTGCTCGGTATTCCACTGTACGCTCTGCCAGCTCCCAGTGGTCACCCCGGTCATTCGTGGACCATTCACACAATGTTACTGGGTCCTACTGTGTGCAGCCCCTCTGCTAGAGTCCTGGATGGCAAAGGTGCACTTGACACATTTATGTTTTGCAAGGCTTAGTTCAGCTGGAGAGGCAGAGCCTGTTTGTAACCTAATGTCAGCTGAGGTAGCTTGTCCTTTGAGATTCAAATGACATTGGCTGCAATTCCCATGTCCTGTGGAAAGTCCAATGCCCTCCCCAGGACTTCTGTCAATTACTGGGAGAGCTTAGATGTTCATGGTCACCTCTGGCTCTAGTTTTTTGCCTCATCTGGAATTTTATTCCCTATTCTAGTCTTGCGACTCTTTCTTTAGCTCTGGCTGTCAAATCAGCCCTTTCTCCTTACAATCCCCACCCCTACTCTAAAGCAACCACAAAAATAAAGCTGTAACACGTAGCAGAACTTTTAATAAAGGTTTGTGGGTCACAGGGGAGAGGTTACATCACACAACAAACAGTTTAAAATCACATTTCCAAAATGTTCTGAAAAGTTACTTTGGCTGTCTCCCCACCCCAGGATTTCTCAATGACCACACGACCCCATAAAGCTCCCTAGCCCGTTCCCTTCTAATCTAGCTTCCTCCTGTTACTCCCTTCGCATCCCTCCACCCCACTCTTCTTTCCTTGGTTGCCTCTGGGAGCGAGATTTTTCTCTGCTGTGCTGGGCAATGTGAGTCTTCCCAGTGTCTTTTCCCTAAGTCCCTCCTCAAGACCACCTTTTAATATCCAGTAATCCACCAGGTTTTTAACAGGGCCTACCCTTTCATGAAGCAAGTTGTGGCTTGAAATGACATTTTATCCACTGGTTTGAGTACAAAGCTTGGGAAAGTGTGAAATATTCACCTCTGAGGCCCCAAAAGTCAGAGTCAGAAAAGCCTGTGTTCCCACCACCCAGCCTCATGAGTACTTGGAAGGATGCATGCTTTGCAGGTCCTGGTCTTGAGTTATCGTGATTCTCTCATCTGTTCACTTTTTTGAGCACTCATGCTTCCCTGTCAGGGGCTTTCCTGTAGCAGAAGGGGCAGAGAGACAGAGACAGATTCATCCATAAGGGTGCCAGACTGGCATCTCTCTTCCTCTCCCAGCTGGGGGGCCAGAAACCATACCTGCCCCACTCAGGACTCTTTGGACATAAGGCCTACAGTAGCTTTCATCCTTGTGGACAAAAGAGCAGAACTCAGGGATCAGAGGTGCATGCTCAAAGACCAGAGGCAGGTCGGGCCCAGTGGCTCACACTGATAACCCCAGCACTTTGGGAGGCTGAGGTGAGAAGATTATTTGAGGCCAGGAGATCCAAACCAGCCTAGGCAACATAGCACAACTGCACTCCAGCCTGGGCAACAGAGTGAGATCCTGACCAGAGGAAGAGCCCACTGGAATCAGGAATCAGGAATGAAAAGTCCAAGTCCCTTGAATGAAAAAGCATGTGAGCCGGGCTCGGTGGCTCAGCCTGTAATCCTGCGCCTTTGGGAGGCTGAGGTGAGTGGATTGCCTGAGCCCGTGGGTTCGAGACCCGCCTGGGCAGGCGAGACCTCATCTCTACAATAAATAAAAAAAAATCAGCCGGGC